TTTTTGGATAATCTTCAGTAAAATCTTGCTTGCATGTGAAATCAGTGAGATTGTTCTATAGTTTCCACATTCTGTTGGGTCACCTTTCTTTGGGATAGGAACAAATATAGATCTCTCCCAGTCATTTGGCCAAGTTGTTGTTCTCCAGATTTCTTGGCACAACTTGAGTTTCATTAGTGTCTATAAATTTTTCCTGTGTAATGTCAAGGGAATGAGGGATGTATGAGATAAAAAAGAACAAAAGCAGAGAAGGGGGCAGGAAAAAACTTTCAGTTAATTTTTGTGTATTAATAGCAAGGATACTAGATTTTTATTTGTCACACTTTTAAAAAGCAAATTCTGCTTGAGTAGTCAAAAATTAAACTCTAAAAGCCATTACAAATGAATAAGAATAAGAATATTAAATTACTAAATGTTAAATAATATTAAATCTTAATAATTGTAAAACAAAATTCAATATGCATAAAATAGTTTATGTATTTCTCAATCAACCAACCAAAAACAGTTAAATGTAACACAGATTTAGACAAATTTTTGGATAGTAGATGTTCATTTCAATTTGCAATACATTAAAAATTGTTCCTATGTGTTTGCTTCAATCATGTAGGTGCATTCTTTAGATGTAGATATGTTTTTGTACCAGTATATCAACCAAAATGTGAAAATAATCTGTGTGTCCAACAATAGGATAAAAACGGTAAATTGGAACACAATGGTGGGGTATCTGGACTCAAGAATCAGAAACATGTTTATTTGAAACACAATTCTATTTAATATGAAAAATCTCAGTATAATAATTATCTCTGTATTAGAAAAATTGTTCAAAATTAAGATATTAATTAACATCCACAAAAACAGTAAAATAGCTTTAACTCTTTGCCCTCTTCTTCCTTATCAGATGCTCTCAAGGGACACATGGCTCAGACAAATTGCACTCGGGTGACAGAGTTTATTCTCGTGGGCCTCACAGATCGCCAGGAGCTGAAGATGCCCCTCTTGTTGGTATTCTTATCCATCTACCTGTTCACAGTGGTGGGCAACCTGGGTTTGATCCTCATCATCAGAACCGACGCCAGACTCAACACCCCAATGTACTTCTTCCTTAGCCACTTGGCCTTTGTTGATTTCTGTTACACTTCTGTCATCACACCCAAAATGCTTGGAAATTTCTTATACAAAGTAAACGTCATCTCCTTCAATGCATGTGCTGCGCAGTTAGGTTGCTTCCTTACCTTCATGGTCTCAGAGTGCTTGCTACTGGCCTCCATGGCCTATGATCGCTATGTGGCCATTTGTAGCCCTCTCTTATATATGATCACGATGTCACCAGGAATCTGCCTTCAGCTTGTGGCAGTTCCCTATATTTACAGCTTCCTCATGGCACTGTCTCATACCATCCTCACCTTCCGGCTCGCCTACTGCCATTCCAACGTCATCAATCATTTCTACTGCGACGATATGCCTCTCCTCAGGTTAACTTTCTCAGACACTCGCGCTAAGCAGTTGGGGATTTTGACTTGTGCTGGCATCACATTCATTTCCTCTGTTTTGATCGTCTTTGTCTCCTACATGTTCATTATTTCTGCCATCCTGAGGATGCGCTCAGCGGAGGGCCGGCGTAAGGCTTTCTCCACGTGTAGTTCTCACATGTTGGCAGTCACTATATTTTACGGGACCCTGATCTTCATGTACCTACAGCCGAGCTCAAGCCACTCTCTTGATACAGACAAGATGGCCTCAGTCTTCTATACAGTGATCATTCCCATGTTGAACCCCTTGATCTATAGTCTCCGAAACAAAGATGTGAAAGATGCTCTGAAAAAACTCATCAGCTATGGAAGCCAGGCATTTGTAGTCACAGGATTAAGAAAATGATTTACAGTAACAAAATTGGACATTACCTCTTTACTTATTTTGACATTAATGAAATCAGTAAATATATTGGCATTGGTAATCAAGAAATAGATGTTCATTATAAATGTAATCATTCCCTGTCTTCTGTGTAAGTGAATTTGACTTAAGGGTATATTTACTATGTAGTGTTATGTGCCTTCAAGTTGACTATGACTCATAGCAATCGTGTTAACAAAGCCTTTGATCCTTGTCCTACTCACTGGCTCTGACACACCTAGCTGCCTTGCCACAATCACTATGTCAATCCACCTCATCCACGCTCTTCCTCTCTTGTGTTCATCTTCTACCCTTCCAAGAATCATCTCCTTCCCTAATGACTGGCCTCTCCTGGCAACATGCCCAAAATATGTGAGATAGAATTTCAAAATCCTTGCCTCGGAGGAACAACCTGTTTTCAGGACAGAACTTTAGTTCTCTTGGCGGCCCGTGGTAGACAACTTGTTTGCTCTCTTAGCAGTCCATGCTAAGTTCAATGCTCTTCCCCAACACCACAACTCAAAGGCATCGATTCTTTGTCATCCTTAGCCATTGTCCAGCTCTTAGATGCATAGCAAGCAATTGAGAAGGGCATAGCTTGAATCAGGTGCACTTAGTTGCTAGATTAACATCATTATTCTTCAGCACATTGGAGAGATCCCCAACAGCAGAAGTTCCCAGTGCAACTAGACTTTTGATTTCCTGACTACTGGTGCCAAGAATGTTGATAGTGGATCTGAGCAAGATGAAAGTGTTAAAAATCTCAGTCTTGTCTCCATGTTCATGTTACCTACGGACCCTGTGGTGAGGATCTTTGGTTTCTCGATGTTGAGAGGCAATCTTTATTAAAAGCTGCAGTTCTTGATCTTCTGTAGCAAATGCTTCAAATTCTCTTGCCTTTCAGTGATAAAGGTTGTGTCATCTGCATAACATAGGTTGTTGATGAATCTTCCTCTAACCTTGCTTTCACATTCTTCTTCATAAAGTCTAGCCTCTTGAATGACCTGTTCAGCATATGTATTGAATAGGTATAGAGAACAGATACATACATGACACACTCTTTTCTTATGTCCCATGAAGCAGTTGGTGGCCTGGGATCACAGCACAGCTTCTTGCCACTAGACCAACAGAGCTCCCTCCTTTATTATGTAGTTTTTGTTGCTGTTAGGTGCTGTTGAGTTGTGTACTATGAACAAAAGATCTGAACCCAGTCCTGTACAGTTCCATCCTCACACTTCCTGACAGTTGACTGAGCATGTGATCAGGATGCTTTAATGATAATTGGTGTCTGAATGCAAAAGTAGGCAACAGTGAAGAAGGAACAGTAGTTTCAAAATATGGGCTTGGTGATAGAAATGAAGCTTGAAATAGAATGACTGACTTTTGTGTTTACGATGATTTATTCATTGCAAATACTTTTTCTAAAAGGTACAAAAGACAATTTTACACATGGATTTCACGTGATGGGCTGTATAGGAATCAGATTGACTACATTTGTGGAAGTAACTGTTGGAGAAGCCCAATATCAGCAGTAAGAAAAAGCCAGGGCAGACTGTGGGTCAGATCATCAATTATTCATATGCAAGTTCAAATTGAGGCCAAAGAAAATTAAAAATTAAAATAAGTCCACAGGAACAAAGATATGATCTTGAATCAATTCAATCTTAATTTCATTATCTTAAAAATAGGATTGAGGCATTGAACACCAATGATAGAAGAGCAGATGGGTTATGGGATGATATCAAGGATAGCATCCACGAAGAAAGCAAAAGGTCTTATGTAGAGGAAGTCATAAAAATGAACATGAGGCTTAAAATCTCTCAAATGAACAATTATACAAAAACATTCTCTTTTCTGATAACTGTACAGAGAGATAGATATAACCAAGAATAAAGGAACGTGCAGACAACTTTAATATCTAGTTTAATTTTTTAAGTGTAAGATTTTAAAAGCACAGTAAGAGTATTGTAATGGGAATAGTGGTGGCCTAGTGGGAAGGGAGTTGTGCTGACAAATCAAAGGTGGGTGATTAGAATCTACCACCAGTCCTGTGGGAGAAAGATGGGCAATCTCCTTCCATGCATTTTACAGTCTAAGAACACCTATTGGAGCGATGAGTCAGTTCTGACTCAATGGCAATGAGGTTTTGAGTAACGGCATATTTAAAATCCAAAAGAGAACTATAAACTAGTGATTAAAACTCAGAATGATGTCTCCTCCAGGAAATATTTAATATATTGAAACCATTTTTACAGTATCATAGCTGGATGCTATTGCTGTCTAGAGTCTGGAAGCCTGGAAAAATATTAAATGTTTAACAATACACAAGAAAGACCCTCACATGAACAATTACTGAATTAAAAAATGACAGGCTGAAAATTTTTGTCCTAAGTGGTTGTCTCCTAAACAATTGTTAGTTGGAGGGTTGAATAGATATTATTCAGATTCAACTAATTGATGATTTCCTTCCATTCATCTACATTTTCAGTAGTATTCTCTTTATTTACTCTATCAATTATTCTAACTCTCATTCCTGTCCAATCAGTCATATATAACTCTCCAGGTGTTTCAAAGGCTGTACAAAGTACCCAAGATGATATTTCCCACCTTTCTCTCTGAGAGTGGAGGGTGAATTCAAAGCGCTATACAAGTGTGTGTGGTCATTGGGTTATCAGCACAAATCTCAATGGACTAATCTGCTAGATGCTCTGTAACAATCATGAAGAGTGACATATTAAAATTACCAGTTGGAAGGATTGAATTATGTGTTTTACTTGTATTTCACTTTCTATTTCATATCTATATCTATTTATCTATCAAACGGATCATCTTAGTATCTGTATGTATATATTATCCTATCAGTCACAACATTTTATTTCAGGACAGAACTTGAAATTGACATTTCTACTATAAACATAACACCGTTCTTCCTCTGTTTTTCATTCCCTGCATAGTATACCGTATTCAAAACGGCCAAAGCAGATCTATCTCATCTTGCTAATGCCTAATAGGTCAATATTCATGTGTTCCTTTTCATTTTTTACAATTTCCATTTTCCCAACATTCAAGCTACATACATTACCTGTTTCAATTGTTAAATGATGTTTGTTATTGATTTTTCTCATTTCAACTGACTTCCAATCTGGGCTCTACCACTGCATTTCTGTAACTATCCTCTTTGTTTGATTGATTCTTACCATTGGACCAATAGTCAACATCATGATGGATGGAGAGGAATTGAAACTGTCAACAGCTTCATCTTGCTTGGATCCACAGTTAACACCTTTCGTACCAGCAGTCAGGAGATAAGGAGATGCATTGCATTAGGAAAATCTTCAGTTAGGGACCTCTCCAAATGATTTTGGAATATTGATGTCAATTTGAAGACTAAGGTGCATTTGTTTCAGGCTATAGTCTTTGTGATTACTGGCTATGCATTCGAGAGATGGACCATGAATAAGGACAACAGAAAAAAGTATTGATGCCTTTATGCTGTGGTGTTAGAGGAGAGCACTGAACATCCCATGGATGTCCAAGAGACTAAACAGATATGTCCTAGAGAGGGTGCAACCAGAGTGTTCTTTGGAGGCAAGAATGATGAGGCTTCAATTCACAAACTTTGGGCATGTTGCTAGGATGTGCAATTCCTTGGATAAGGACATGATGCTGGGAAGGGTAGAGGGTCAGTAAGAAGAGGAAGACCCTAAACCAGGTGGATTGATACAGTAACTGCTGCAATGTGCTCTTGTGTGTCAGGAAGTGTGAAGATAGTGCACGATAAAACAGGGTTCCGATCTTTTGCTCATGGGGTCACTTTGAGTCATGGTTGACTCCATAGCAACTAACAACAGCAACAAATCTATCATGCAGATAATATAACTTTGCTTGCAGATGCTAACGGGGACTTGAAGCACTTACTGAAGAAGATTAAAGGCTATAGCTTTCAATATGGATTATACTTCAACATCGAGAATACAAATATCCTCACCATTAGACCAGTAGGCAGTAACAGATTGAGAAATATTTGAAGTGGTTGCCAAATTCATTTTACTTGGATCCACAATAAATAGTCAATAACACTGAAGTCAATAAGTCAAAAGCCGTGCTGCATTGGGAAAAATCTGTTATCAAGAACCTCTCTAAAGTGCCAAAGAGAAAGGATGAAAGTTTAAAGACTAAGCTCACCTGATGCTAGCTATGGTCTCTCCAACTGCTTCCCATGCATCTGAAAGTTGGACAATAGAAAGGGATGACCGAAGAAGCCTTGATGTCTTTGAATTGTGACACTGGAGAAGAGGATTGACTAGACCATGGGCTTACAAAAGAAGTTTTATCTTGGAAGAAGTGCAACCAGGCTGCGCTTTAGAGACAAAGATGGTATAACTTTATTTCACACACTTTGCGCATGCTCTGAGAAGGTGCCAGTCTTCAGAAAAAGACATCTTGCTGGGAAAAGTGGAGGATCAGAGAGAGGAAGACCCTCAACAAGATGAATTGATAGAGTGACTATAACAGTAGGATTGAGCATATCTGGGATGGTGAGGATGGTACAGGGTAGGGCTTATATGTGTTGGTGTTCACAGTGTTGTTAGGAGTGGCAGTAGACTTGATGTGCAACATCAAGCAAGTTGTAAACTATGGTTTGCCCTTAGTGTGCTGTCAATTTTCATTTAAATACTCACCTTTCTAAATTTCTCACTAAACAAGGACAAATAGTTCATTTGAAAGTGGAAAAATAATTCCCTAACTACCTCTCTTCCTCAAAGATTTTTACAAAATAATAGATGATTTCTATTTTCCTAGCTTTAAATTGGACTGGACTTGATGGCACCAAACAACAAAAACTATGACAACTTATTTCTTAATAAGGATTAAAATCTTATTCTTTCAGTGTTCCCTTACTACAGTAATGAATTTAGGTAAGAAAATAAGTCATCAAGAAAACTAAATAGTAACAGCAGCAACCTAAATTAGTAAGCAAATTCTTCATAATCATATAAGAGTAAGGCTTGCGTTATAAAATCAGGAATAGGTTAAGGAATTAGATATTAAATTCTTTGAAATTCTGTTGTAAATATTTTCACAAAAGGATTGTTATCTTCTGAAGATAACTCACAGTCTATCACTAAACAATGGCATAGAAACATTATTCATTAAAATAACAATAAATAACATTTAAAAGTCAAGGAACATAAGGACAATAATGTCATCATAAAGGCAGATCTACAGACTTACTTATTTAAAAATACCAATAATTAATCTCCAACCTCCTCTCTGCTCCCAAGGGAGTATGAAATATAATTTTTCTAATCTTCTCTCCATTGGTCTCCTAAGATCCTTTGGGACAGAGTCAGTGACAAAACTCTGCACTTTGTTGTTCAACCCATTTGAAGAAGCAATAGGACCTGGGTAGGTTAAAAGATTGTGTGTGTGCCAAAATTGATGTAAAGAAGCATTTTTAATATTTAAATAGAATATAATATAAGCAGATTTGAATTTCAAAGTTCTGATTTAGAATATCTTGTCTTTTTACATTGTAGTCAAAATACTTTATAGCCTGAAAAACAAAAGATGTTAAATTAGCTTATTTCCGTGGCTGAAACCTGAAAGATTTGTCACTGAAGCATACCGAGGGATGCAACTTGCTAGCTATCATTCAATATTTAAAATCTACCATCCTGAAAAATATCTTCAATTCAAGCAAGCAGAAAACTTTTGGTTTAATTTGAATGAGAGTTTTAATATACCACAGCTAAACTAGGAAATGCACTAAATTTATGAATTAGTCGATTTTAGGGAAAAAGTAAGAAAATATGATTTCTTAATTTATTTACATAAAATATATTCCTAATGTAATTTTAAAGTGTACAAAGCAATCTATAAACTTTTCTTGAAATAATTTTTCACTTGTTCATACATCACTGACAAAGAAACTGACAGAAATACATACTGATTTTAGTAGCAAGGACCCTTTTGTTTTGTATGTGTTTTATTATGATATCAAAGTTCATATCAATGTTCATATTTCAATTATAAAAATTCATATAAAACAATATGTAAAATTTATGAATATTTGCCACTTAAATTAATTTGATAGTAGAACTATATAATAAGGTAACTGCAATTTATATTATTTTAAATGAAAAAAAATTGATGGTGTCATATAGTTAATATAAATCAGAAAACATATATAACTTATTTCAGTTAAGCAAAGTATTTTTTTAAATGTCAGTACATTTTTCATTTCATCAAGTGAATCCATGTAATTGATGCAAAAACCTATCTACATTATTTAATTCAGTGAAAACTGGAAAAGAAAGTGCAATAGCTAGGCATATTGAGAACATGATAGTGAGGGTGGACTTCTGAGTCAGAAAATAGTTGGCTTTAAAGTCCAGCTGGACTGCAGACTGTCATACACAGTTGAGTCAGACTGACCCCTAGTTGACTCTCCACCGGGTTTTCACAGGCTGTAAATCACAAGGGAGGAAATTGCCCGTCTTTCTCCTACAGAGCAGCTGGTGGAACTGGCTGCCTCTCAGTTGGCAACACAACTCCTTCCCACTACTACATCACCAGGCCTCTGTAGACTAGTTGAGTGAATTTGATAGTAATTTCTCTGAGCATTTTAACCTTACCTGTGAAAAGGACATCATGTGTCTTTATCATGGGGATTGGTAGGAAAATCTAGAGTAAATAAACCCTGAGTAGAATGAGTGCTTTTCAAAATGTAAATCACGTTCAATATTTGCATCATTAAGTTAATCATGTGGATTATGCAGCAAGCTATTGTCACTTTTTTCTGCAGGAAGTATCAGGAGTAGAATAGAAGAATAGGTAATTCTATGTCCCTGTGCATTGTGTGTACGGTTAATATCTGCCTAGAACTGAAGACAGATCTGTCAAGGCGACACCACTAAAAAGAGATCTCATTTATTATGTTGTTATTATTTGCATTTTTACAATAGTACAAATTTTAGAAAACTATAGTTCTGTTTCAAATAGTCAAATGTACAAGAGTTTTGAACAGAGAATAAGCCTATGTGTACTGACTCTTATTCCAAAGTTTTATTTTCTTTTGTGGTTTTAAAATGATAAATAGCACACACTTGCCAATTCAACATCTTTTTTTATCAACACAACTTAGGGACACCAAGTAGATTAATCATATTGTGCAAAAATTGCTAATGTATGTTGCCAAAATTTCTATCACCATAAAAAACCCAAATATATACACAGCAACTCAGGTCTTCTTCAATAAATTACATGTGAATATGGAACTGAATTCCCTGCAGTGACTCAACTTGCAGCCAAATAATGTTGTTATGTGGGGATTTTGCATGGGAGGAGATGGTTCATCTTTCTCCCTGAGAAGCTGGTAGATTCAAATCACATGCCTTTGGGCTTGAAGTAAAACTCTCTACCCAAATAGGCTTATACGGTGAACAGTGATATCATGGAGGTAGTCAGTCTTTAGAACAATCAACCATACAAAATTCATTCAAGAATAAAGCTAAGAAGATGAGAAGGGAGAAGATAGGATGAATGGAAATAAGAATCAGGGAGAAAGTAAGAAGTGTGTTCTTATTCTGTGGGGATTATCAGTTGTCCTATAAGAAAATGTATTTGAATGACAGGATTGGTGGAAGGTCTATTAACAATCTCCGTTATGGAGATGACACAACCCTGCTTGCTGAAACTGAGGAGGACCTCATGCACTTGCTGCGAAGGGTCAAGGACTGCAGCCTTCAGTATGGACTGAGGCTCAATGTCAAGAAGACAAAGATTCTCGCCACTGGACCAATTGGCAGCGTCAGGATGGATGACGAAGAGATTGAGAGTGTTCACAGCTTCAGTTCGCTCGGCTCCACAGTCAACACTCTTGGCACCAGCAGTCAGAAAATCAAAAGGCGTATCGCGATGGGAAAGTCTGCTGTTAGGGACCTCTCTAAGGTACTCAGGAGCAACAGTGTCTCTCTGGAGACTACGGTGCTCCTGATACAGGCCATGGTATTTGCAATCGCTTGTTATGCATCAGAGAGTTGGACAATGACTAGGGAGGACAGAAGGAGAGTGGATGCTTTTGAGCTGTGGTGCTGGAGAAGGGTACTGAATGTACCCTGGACTGCCAGGAAAACAAACAGATTTATCTTGGAGAGGATTAAACCAAGCTACTCCTTGAAGGCAAGGATTCTGGGGCTTCGTCTGACATACTTTGGACATGTTGCCAGGAGGGACGGGTCCTTGGAGAGGGACATCATGCTTGGGAGGGTTGAGGGACAACGCAGGAGGGGAAGACCCTGTATGAGATGGATTGATTCTGTGACTGGGGTAATCGGGATGGGTGTGTCAGAGGCGGTGCAGGTGGCGCAGGGTAGAGCAGGGTTTAGGGCTGTTGTGCATAGGGTCGCTATGAGTCGGAAACGACTCGACGGCACATAACAACAACAACAATGGAAAACCCAACTACACAACACATTTTCACTCAAATCACAATGGAAAGCTAACAAAGGGAGAAAGATATATAAATGGGACCACGTCTTAACTCTCCTTTCTTCTTTTGCAACCCCATGACTTGACAGGACACGTGACTCAGATGAACTGCACTCGGGTGACAGAGTTTATTCTTGTGGGCCTCACAGATCGCCAGGAGTTGAAAATGCCCCTCTTTCTGGTTTTCTTATCCATCTACCTGTTCACAGTGGTGGGTAACCTGGGCTTGATCCTTATCATCAGAACAGATGCCAGACTCAACACCCCAATGTACTTCTTCCTTAGCCACTTGGCATTTGTTGATTTCTGTTACAGTTCTGTCATCACACCCAAAATGCTGGGCAATTTCCTGTACAAAGTGAATGTCATCTCCTTCAACGCTTGTGCCGCTCAGCTAGGCTGTTTCCTGGCTTTCATGACAGCTGAGTGCTTGCTCCTGGCCTCCATGGCCTACGATAGATACGTGGCCATCTGTAACCCGTTATTGTACATGGTTGTAATGTCTCCACGCATCTGTCTTCAGCTCGTGGCTGCCCCTTACAGCTACAGCTTCTTGGTTGCGCTGTTTCATACCATCCTCACCTTCCGTCTTTCTTACTGCCATTCGAATGTCATCAATCATTTCTATTGTGATGACATGCCTCTCCTCAGGCTGACTTGCTCAGACACTCATTCCAAACAGCTGTGGATCTTCGCCTGCGCGGGAATCATGTTCATTTCCTCCCTTCTCATCGTCTTTGTGTCTTACATGTACATTATTGCTGCCATCCTGAGGATGCGCTCTGCAGAGGGGAGGCACAAGGCCTTCTCCACGTGTGGCTCCCACATGCTGGCCGTTACCATTTTCTACGGAACCCTCATCTTTATGTACCTCCAGCCTAGTTCAAACCATTCCCTGGATACCGATAAAATGGCTTCAGTCTTCTACACAGTGATGATCCCCATGTTGAACCCATTGATCTACAGTCTTCGCAATAAGGAAGTGAAAGACGCCCTGAAGAAGCTGGTTGTAGACAAAAATCAGGCCTTTGTGTTCCTGAAACTAAAAAAGTGACTGGAATAACTAAAAGCGGACTTTCCTTATGGTCTGTCTTCCCTCTATATCTTCTTGGTGGTTCAAGTCTACCAGCAGCTTGATAGAATAAAGGTGGATAGACTCTTCTCGCTAAGATCTTCAGTCTGGAAAAATTGGATGGAGGATCTCTAAGAATTAGAATGAAGTTTTTGGTTATTGATAATCTATATCAGAAGGCTTGAATGTTAATTTGTGATAAGTATATATTTGTAAAGTTATTATGTAATTATTGTCTACAGATTGTAATTGAATTAGATTTCCAATGTAGTGACCACTGTAAGAACTTGTAACTGTTGTTCAAGGAATAATGCCTATTCCTTAAACATTTACATAGATTCTCTTATGTCAAAATGTATAATGTATTAACAAAAGCATTAACTGCTCCAATACACATCTAAGTATAGATGGAACATAGATAACATTTTTGCTCCTTTAACTTCAGTTCAAAACTCAAAAATGTGCTTTGACAACATATTCCAAGTTGAAAGCAAAGACATACAACTGTATTACTTTTTCCTCATTTGAAAAGTTGTTGGAAAATGTACGGAAGTGTCACACTGGCTCATTTTAAATTTCTTTTCTTTTATTATTTTGTGTGTGTGTGTACAAATAGGATCTGACTGGTACAGGAGGAGATTGCTCCTCCTTCTCCAGCACAGCATCTAGTGGATTTGAACCGCATACCTCTGAGATTGCAGTGTAGTATCTTGCCTCTAGGCCACCAGAGCTCCCTAGTGGCTCATTTTAAAATAGTCAACAAATAGCCTTTACTATAGAGAACAGGCCTTTTATTTTCGTTATCTTAGTCAGAAATTTAAATTATACTAGCAAACGCTGGTTTGGTCTGTATGGCCTACTTGAACGAATGACTGTTCTTATGCCTATTATAATTCACTGCATATATTTTTCTAAGTTGTCTAATAACAATCATAATACTGAGAGTCTTGATATTTCCATCTATAGACAATCCCATCTGGCCAAAAATAAACAGATGGCAGCTGAGAACAATCCTAGATTCGATGAAGATAACATTAACAATAAGCCATTGCTGTTGTTGTTATGTGTCTTGGAATTGGAACTAACCAAAATCTCACACTCCATGGGGGTTTCAAATGTGGTAATTGGGGGGAAACTGCCAATCTTTCTCCCATTGGAGCAGCTGGTGAGTTTGAACTTTGTGCCTTTTGGTTGACAGCACATTTCTGTATGACTAGGCCATCAGAGTTCTCTAAAAATTAAATTAGTTGCCAATAGTACACATTTGAAATATTTCCCATAAACACTTAACATCACCATATGTTAGTTAAATCATCTTTATGAAATTAAAAATGCTTTCAAGGCAAGTATGGAAATGGCATGTCTTATAATAAAAAATAAAATTAAAAAACACAAGGTATCAAAACAGTGACTTGTTTTAGAATCAAAGTATGGTGCTGTAGGGGTTAAGCTGACCAAGGCAGGAGCTGTCCGAATTAAAAGAATGGAATAGAAAGAATGTATCAGGGCAAAAAAACCCCACTCTGCCCTTGCATGTATATTAACAAGACAAAAAACAAACAAAACTAAAACTCAAATAAAAAAACAAACAAACACTCTGTTTTATGAATGTATGTGTGTGTATGTGCAAAACCTTACTTCTTCCACTGACACTGCCTTCTGATAAGGTTGTGGTTATGGAAACTAGGAAGGTTAGCCAATAAGAAAAGAGTAAAAATCCATCTTGGAATCCACTTAGCATATTTTACTGCTTATATACATAAGAAATTTCTCAAAAAAGCTATGAGGATGTACAGGTCAAGAAGACACTCAATTCTGAATTCCTCAAACCCAACCCTCTTGACTAACCCAAGTCTTGATCAATTCACTCCATCACCAGGCACTTTTCTGCAGGTCAGATAAATGAAAAATGGTGACCTACCAAGATATCATTAGTAATATTTTTCAATTTGATATTAAAAGGTTCATGTAGACACAGAGAATGCACTAATTTTCTGAATGTTTTAGATGATTGTAAAAAACATTACCATTCATAATACCAAGATACACAAGAATGAAGCAAATTCATTTGCAAATGAAAAATCTTGTAATTGTCCAGTCAGAATCAACTCATATGTGGCCCTTCAATGGGTTTTTGGGAGGTGGTTAATTGTATAGAAGTAGATTGCTCATTTTTCTCCTATGAACCTGGTAATGGATTTGAATCTGTAGAGAAGCATTGCCTTGGGATTAGCATCTCAACTTGTTAAGAGCTATGCAATTGTAACTAATAAATTGAATTTTGTTTCACGTTGTTAAGTGCAATCGAGTCAAGTACAACTCATAGTGACCCTATGAAAAAAAGATCTGAACCATGTTCTATAACTATAATTTTTCTAATGTTTATAGAGTTTCCAAAGACCTGGTTATTTAATAAGTGGATGCCACTCCTGCTTCAAAGCCTGTCTTAAGCTGGGAGCTCTACCAAACCCTGTCCACCATTGGTAACCATTATGGCATTCCACATACCAGTGGCACAGCATTCCTTCTCACAGCAGTCCTAAGTTACCTCAATACAGAAAACTGACAGACCAGTGCTGTACTTTTTAATACAGAAGTTTTAAAATGGATGGTATAGTTCTTGAATCTTATGCTGTTCAAAGAAGCACACATAGTGATCTTACAAGTAATTGCAGCTTTATGTAGTTTACTGTTGCTATAAAATATCCATAATCTCTCAAGCAATGAAGCCTGAAAGTATTTTTGGTTCTAGTGATATAAATTCTCACAACAGTAGTGAACCGTATAGCAAAAAGAAGCTAAAATAGCAACCTGTATTTTGATAAATAAAACAGATATATGCCCTTGGGATCAAAAATAAGGTCTGTAGATATACTACTATTATATCAATATACATTTGTGGAATTTGATATTAGAACTGTATTCATCTATTAACCAAAATGTTCATGGTTCCAATTTGGCCTAATGGTTGAGGAGTTGCCCTACCAACATAAGGCAAATGGTTTGAATCTTCCGGCAGCTCTGTGAAAGATGGAAAATCTCCTCCCATGGAAATTACAGCCTCTGAAAACCTATTGGAGGGTCCCCTATGAGTTGTTTCCAACTTGATGGCAATGAACTATATGAACTTCATAGGAGGAAGACCTGATTATCTGCTATAGTAATGTCTGCAGTCAAGAAAAACTCATAGGCACTGCTACTTTGCAACACAGGCTCTTGCTATGAAATAATATACTCGAGGCATCAAACAATTGGGTTCTTTAAAGAGCTCCGTGTTTTTAAAAAATGCACACTGAAGTATACCAGGATAAAGAAGTCGATGTCTTGAACTTAATTTTGAATCAGTTTAAGGGGGGAAAAAGGAGCATAAAATAGTAACATTTGTGAAATCCTGGTGAAAATAAACAGAAATGCTACATAAAATGTTGGCATGTTTTCTAGAAGTCTGACATTTTTCTCAAAAGTTAAAATAAATACTGCATTGCTTCTATGTACATTGAGTTGGAATTGACCCAAAGCTGATCCTCTGACGGGTTTTCAGAGGCAAGTAATCTCACGGGAGACGATTGCCCATCCTTCTCCCTCAGAGCAGCTGGTGGATTCAAAGCATGTGCCTTCAGGATTGCAGCACAGCTTCTTGCCACTAGGCTACCAGTGCGACCGAAAAGAAAA